GTAAAGTAGGTATTTTCTGAAGTGTAGGCTGGTAGGATAAAACGCATTAATTTTTCTGATGAAAGCGATGTCTTGCGCCCTCATGTGGCTGTGAGAAAAAACACAACCACTTCAGATGAATGAAATTATCTTAATGAGCCAATAGAGAATAAACTCGAAAATTCAGACCTGAATATGATTTGAAATAACTGGAAAACCCCCAAATGAGTCAAGTTGTGTTCATACTAGTTGTGAAGTTGTCACGAAGGCTGAAATTCCGGTAACACTTTACGGTAAGGGTACATGAATTACCATGAATTCATGCATAAATTAATGTGTGAATTATGCATTACTTCATGCATTAATATCTCATGAATTATCAGGAACTAACATGAGTTCAAAGTCTTTCATTCATGACTTCATGGATGAACAACACCTTAATTAAGACATTAAGTAAGGTGAGTACGTCATCATGATTTATAATTTATTACACATGATCATGTTTTCTTTGTTCACAAAAAAACAAGGTCTTTACTATCCATTGTGGATAAAGCTATGCTTATGGCACATGATTCAAAAAAGCATTATTTTGTGCATTTAAGACTACTTGAATTATTAAAGGAATATACACAAATCCACATTACCTCATGCATGCATACAGGCTAGAACATTTTATTAAATGACAATAATATGAACATGTAATATGAGATTTGAAAAGGGAGGAAAAAAAAGTTCAGCAAAAGACGGGATCGAAGCCGGGTCGATCGCATCAAAAAGCCAACGACACGCACTTATCCATCTGCGCCACTGGAGCTGATGTTTTACGGCCACTTTTAACAATGTAAATAGATACCGCATATTTTTTATTCCAGAGTAAGGACAATTCATACAACACATTTAAACTGAGCTACTTTAATACCATCTCCGAACTTTCTACCAGTACTCTGCTGTTCTTCGGCTGGTTCTTCCTGTATACGTTGATTGACAGATGTCTCGTCCAGTCAGCGGTGAGTAATCCCAAACCAATGGCGCTGTATGCATGAATTAATGGTAATTCATGTACCCTTACCGTAAAGTGTTACCGCAATTCCAAATAAAAACATTTTACCACAGAATCTGTTGTTTGAGCTCTGATATCAGAGGAATTCAGAAGGTGCCGCGGTAATATATAAAGCGCGAGACTCGGCTGCTCACTTCGCGGCGAGTAAAGAGTGTGTTATCAACAGTGTTTACCGTGAGTTTAGTTGTTGATAGCATTTTATCGTGCTGATTATGGGACAGCGACTGTCTCGTGGAGAGAAAGCGGAGGGACAACACTGACACCTACCGACCACACGGAGCTCCATCCTCTCCTGAAGAGCCTGTGGCTATCGGTGAGGAGGAGAGGAGACAAGACCAAGAAGAAGAGGCAGAAAAGAGCAGGTTTCGGAGGTTTGCTTCTTTCTTCTGTTGTTTCTCTCCCCACAAACCCACCAAAGCTCAGAGTGAGCAGGAGCAGCACACTGGTGTCTCCATCCAGGAGCTGTACTGATGGTACATCAACATGAACATCAAAAAGTCTATTCATTGTTTACACGCATCACCATCACATTATACAAATGCAAATAAATACGTTTTTCCACTACATGTGATAAATGTTATATTTCAGAATATTTCAAGATTAAAGTAATTCCTGAATGAAGAATTAATATGAGTATGCAATATATTATAGATATTATTTGATTAAAAACCATCTTTTGGTTGATATTGCTGTCTTTAGATCAGACTTCTCTGCAGGACGTCTTCTGTGCTGTAGAGGACAATGATCATCAGGAGTCTCTTTCCAGTGCTCCTGAAGACCCCTCACTGCCGAGGAGCAGCAAATGCAGGACGTCCAGCCTCAAGATCAGGACAGTCCAGTCAGTCCTTCAGCAGATGAGTCCTTCACATCTGAGACATCTGGACTGTGACGAGATCACGAGGAGGAGGGTGAGTTTACCGTCATAACCCAAAATATAACACACAACCTCTCCTTATAAATGATTATTTTAGGTGTATCTATTAAAGAAAATGTATGCTTTAAATAATGTACATGTAAACATTTCTTTTCGTTTTTTTAGTTTTAAATTACCATTTGCCGTTTTTTGCAGTTCATTTAGTCCTGCAGTGTGAACTTAAATAAAATAAATAACTAGTAACTACAATTATTTATCTTGCAATAGACCTCATTTGCTGGACGTATGCCATCGGCAAGAAGTTGGGGAAGGAGGCTGTCTTTGAAGGGACCCGCTGTGAGGACGGCCTTCAGGTGGCTGTGAAATTCACAGCGAAGACAGAAAACAAGCTGTACCTCAGCCTTGTAAGTAGTGCAAGCACTGTGCTCTCTGTCATCTCTCATTTACTGTTTGCAATTTATAAGATCTTAAATTCATGTAAAACACAGAGTACAGATATTTCAGTAGACAAACCGACTGAGCTGAATGTTTATTTGAGAAACTGCTTCCATCTGACCATCATAAAGCAATCTTTCTTCTAGCCTGACCATCCCAGTCCGGTTCCTCTAGAGGTGGCTTTGACAGTCAAGGCCAATCAAGGCTGCTGTTTACCATGATGACCAACCGTTATCCATACAGCAGTGATATAATACTGATAAACACTGATGTCTGGATCGAGCCCGGCTTCTCAGATGGTAATCAAGTCAATACAACAAAGAACAACAATTGCAATTCATAATGTTAATCATGCAAAACAGACGCTTTATAAATAATGGCCTTATGGATAATGCAGGAATCTCTCAGTTTAGAAAGCAGGTGTGAATTTGAAGGAAATAATCAGAAATTTCTCTCATTTTTCTGCACAGAATGATTCTGTTTTATTCCCGGTTGCCTAAAGAGTGACCCGGAGCAGAGGGTTCATCTGGAGGAGATGCTCTCCCATGACTGGTTCAAAGTAAGTCTAACACAAGCTAAAATGATTTGTTTGTTTTTGTCTTTTTGTTGATTTGATGTGATCAGAATCCCTGCTGCAACTGTTATATAATAGGAGTTGAACGACTTCTGTTTTTTTTTTAAGTCGACTTTTATGTGATGAAAGTCGAGTCGAAGTCGACTAGTCGCTGATGACGTCATTAATGAACAAATAAGTCTGGAGCTGTGACAAACACCTTGTGCACAGCTATGGCAGATGACACAGCACTGCCCACATGGCTATTGCTCCTATAACAGCTTTTTTTATCAGTTCTTTTGTCGTTATATTTCTCACAGATTTCTGCTCGTTCTAAATCTAACCAGAAAAAGTAGCACAGTAAAGATTACATTCATATGAATGCATTAGTGAGAGCGATTGCGTGTCTGAATTAATTCTACCTGGCAGCGTCTCTCTACTAGTAGTGAAGCTGTGGGATCTAGTTAAGAAATATATGCTAGAACTTTTCAGTTTCTAAGCTGTTTTATTGAGAAATCACAGAACAGTGTTGACAATACATTTCCGCACTGAATGATTCTGTGCTCGCGATCTGCGCGTGATGTAAGAGCTACTGTCTGTAGCCTGTGTGTGTGCGTTACAGTGCTGCATCGCATTAGATTAGAACGGCGATTAATTTACCTGTACAATAAGCGGTTTAAAACGTGCATTCTCCCGTTCAATTTCGAGCATCCAGTAATATAATCACACACGTCTTGTGGAGCGCTTGCAGAGCATGCATTTATTTGTCATTTAAACTGTTTGGAAACGGAGCGTAAATGTGGAAGTTCTTCAAAGATTTATTATCCTGTTGCGCCCTGTATAGGACCAATTCAGAGTAGACGTCACAGTTACGTCACTTGCAGCTGCGCGCGCATAGTGGTTGCAGAAAAACACTGGGAACAAGTGGAGGTAAATGGGTAAAATCCATGGAATAGAAGAAAAAAATATTTTTCTGCCTTTTGATGTCAAGATCAGAATGCAAATAATTTTTATATAATACTGTCGTCATTTGAAGCTAAACGCAGGTGTTTAAATGGACATACTATGGATGAAAACTGCTATGATTACTCTACGTTTAAAGCATAAATTCGATTTAAACAATAGGCCTACATAATATTCACATATGCTGTTCATAGGGGACATATTGTATTAGCCCTACAGTTACAGCATGAATTATTAGATGACAAGCTCTTGTAATATGCGGAGAACATTTTGAAAATGACATCTAATCAATATAATTTATAATCTTTTTAAATTTTGTACCGTATCCGTGAAATTCTCTAGCTGTAAAGGCTATCTCTCCCGGGTTTTCTGCAACCGTGAAGCGCGCACATCCTGAATGTTTCCAAACCGATAATTGGTCTATAGGACCAGCGACTAGTCGACGTCAAGCTTAAAGCATCATGGCAGAGCATTGAAGTCGACTAGTCGATTAGTCGGTGCAACC